CACACGCGACAATACATTAGACAGTGCAGCAGTCACTTCCCATTAGAAAGATGCGTGTACCAACCAAGAATTGATATCATTCTTGGGATGTTTTTGATAGTATAACAACATGGTGCAAGGCACATGACATTTTTACTTGAGCATTTAGTGATACTCTCTCAAGAAATTAAAGATCTGATCCAGCATTGAAGTCACAAGTGTGTCAAGAACAAGAAGACAACTCTACTAAGGACTAGTTCCACAATGAGTCTATGTGTATCCGTAGTTGAGTTGTAATCTTAATGTTTGTTCTTCATTGTAACTCTTATCTTGCTTTCTTAGAAGCCTTGTTTTAGGAAACTCAAAATCATAAACCTTCTGAGTCTGTGTTGTGACTAGAGATAGTCATAAGTTAAAGTATTTCTAACTAGTAAGTGACAAAGTGGCTTGTGATAAGTGTATCACAAGTTAGTTGAGTTGAAGTCTTTGTAATAGAGTCATTACGAAGTGTCTTGTAATAGTGTGATTACAAGTTAGTGATGTTTAAAGCCTACCAGTGTAGGTCGTGGTTTTTATCCCCTTGAGTTGGGGTTTTTCCATGTAAAAATTCCGTGTCTCATTTACTTACTATTTTAATTAGTATTCTCAGTGGAAACTCATAGAGGACCAGATACTCTATAGTTTGGTGGATTTATATATTCTAATAATTGGTATTAGAGTAGGTTATTTCTAAAAGGTTAACACCTAGAAAGGATCTCAATGGCTGCTCCTCCTAACTTTGAGGAAGGGCAATCAACCTACAGACCTCCTAGATTCAATGGTCAGTACTACGGTTGGTGGATGACATGTATGCATGATTTTATAATGGCAGAAGACTTCGAGCTGCAGGACGTTGTTTGTGATGGTCCACATGTTCCTATGAAGAAGCTTGGAGAAACTGGACCAATGGTGCCGAAAAATAGAAAAGAGTACAGTGATATTGATAGAAAAGCCGTAGAAAAGAACTATCATGCCAAGAAAATCTTGGTATGTGGTTTAGGACCTGATGAGTACAACAGAATCTCAGCTTGTGATTCTGCTAAGGAAATATGGGAAGCATTACAAACCGTACATGAAGGAATTACTCAAGTTAAACAGTCCAAGATCGACATGCTCATCACCGAGTATGAGCTCTTCAGGATGAAGGATGATGAGTCTATACAAGATATGCACACTAGATTCACATCCATCATAAATGAGCTTCATCACTTGGAGATGTTATTCCTAGAAATAAGCTTATAAGGAAGATTCTTAGTGTTCTACCTGGCTCTTGGGAGAGTAAGGTGAATGCCATCACTGAAGCTAAAGCTGGGCAAACTCTAACCATGGATGAGCTGATTGGAAATATGAAGACATACAAGATGAAAAGAAAGAAAGACACTGAAAGGAGAGAGCCAAAGAAGGAGAAGAACCTGGTGCTCAAGGCTGAAAACAGTGACTCAAGTAAAGAAGATAGTGATATGGTCTATCTTACTAAAAGGTTTCAAAAGATGGTTCGAAGAAATAGTGGTATACCAAAAAGAGGCAGCTCAAGTAAGGCAAGGAACAATGATCTTTGTCACAAGTGTAGAAAGCCAGGGCATTTCATCAAAGACTGCCCACTTTTGAAATAGGAGCAATACAAACAAAACATTGACAAAGCGACAAAAAGGAACCTGGTTCCTGACAAATGATTCAGTCGAAAAAGTGCAATCGACAATATTGTGAAGCAAGCTCTTGCTGCTTGGGGAAACTCCTCCAGTGAATTAGAAGGGGAACCTGATGTAGAAAACAACTCCATGAAGGCAGTGGAAACTGAAGCAACGAAATTTGACTCACTGTTTGCACTGATGGCTCAGTCTGTCGATGATGAAGAGGATGAAAATGATGAGGTAAATTTCAGGGATGTTCAGAGAAATCTGAAGTCTTACTTTTCTAAGAAATTAATATCATTAGCAAATGTCCTAATTGACGCATATTATAGCCTTATTAATGATAAGGACATCTTGACCATAGGCTAGGAGATGTTGAACAATCTAGAGATGATCTGGTGGTCTGTGTAGTTGATCTAAATAAGACCATAGCTAATCTTGAAAAAGAAAAGGAAGCTTTGAATGAAAAAATAAATAGCGAAGAAAATGAGAGAGATGACGTGATGGTAGTGGTTGCTGATTTGAAGGAAACCATAGAAAGATTTAGCAATGAAAAACACACTCTAGAAGAGAAAATTTTAGCTACTGAGCAAGAGAGGGATGACTTTTTAGTGATAATCACTGACCTAGAGGGAACTATTGAAGGACTCAAATCAAAACTTAGGCCTGCAAGTATTGAGAAGGGGAAAGAAATATCAAGCTTCAAAAGGAATTAAATAATGTTAAAATAGTTTGTGTGGTGAACTCGAGAAAAATAGGCAGTTTCAAGCTGAATTGAAGAAAGTAAAAGTTGATCTTGGGAAATCCCTCAAGTGGACCTAGTCCTCAGATGCTGTCACTGCCATGTACTTCAACAATAGTGGAAACAGGCAGAGAATCGGGTTTCAAAAGTAGAAAACTCTTTACAACCCTCACAACAAGTATGTCACAATTCCTGATAACTGGCTTTGTGCCCACTGTGGGAACAATGGGCACTTCAAAGAAAATTATCGGGCCAGGGTTCAGCCTGTTCAAAAAAACAAATTGTTTACTGAAAAGTGACTACTAAAGAGGGACCAGGTACCACTCGCAAGAAACGAATATTGCCTGCACGGATTAAAAAAGATCTTATTCATACCTTTTCTCATAACAAGGGACCCAAAATAGTTTGGGTTCCTAAATCTAACCCATAATTTATATGTGTAGGGAACAGTGAGAGGAAGCGGATTGCTAAAAGTACATAACTAGAAACACCATGGATTTTCTCTCACTGAAAGTCCTGTAGGGAGGGGAATGTATCCTTTGGAAATGAAAAAGGGGTACATTCTCGGTATTGGAAAAGTTGGAAGTCTCTTTCACACTCAATTGAGAACGTGTACTATATAGAGGGCCTGAAGCACAGTCTCTTGAGTGTTTCTCAAATTTGTGATAAAGGGAACAAAGTAGAGTTCGTATTAAAATTGTGCACAATTTTTAATCTGGTAATTATCAAAGTGGTTTTAGTATCCAAAAGATACAAGAACATCTACGTTGCTAACATTGAATCTCTACAAGCGGGTGATATGGGCTACTTAAAGGCAGTTGTTGATGATGCAGGACTTTGACATAAGAAGATTGGGGCATGCAAGCTTCTCACCTCTAAATGAACTGATTTAGAGAGACCTGGTTCGTAGTCTGCCAAAATTCAAGATTCACCTGGTCACTGGTTGTTAGAACAAAGAATGATACTTTCAAGGTATCTGTGGACTTCGTCAAGAAAGATCCAAGTGAAGATGGAATAAAAGCACCAAGGACTCCATAGCAAAATGGTGTTGTTGAAAGAAAGAATAGAACTATGGAGGACATGGCACGAACAATGCTCATTGACAATGGAATCGCCAAAAAACTCTGGGCAGAAGCAATAAAAACTGCTTGCTACTTGGAGAACAGGTGTATAATCAAGTCCCTCCTAAACAAAACCCCCTATGAGCTGCTCAATGGAAGAAAACCAAAAATAACTCATCTGAGAACCTTTGAATGTAAATGCTATGTTCTCAGCAACGGGAATGACCAGCTTGGGAAGTTTGATGTAAAAAGCGATGAAGGAATCTTTCTGGGATATTCCTCTTGGAACAAAGCCTACAAAGTCCACGACAAAAGGACACAATGTGTGGAAGAAAGTGTTCATGAGCTATTCAACGAGAATCCCTCTTCTAACAAAGTAGGAAATAGTGATGATCAAGATAATGAACCACTTTTGGTTCCAAGGGAAATGTATGATGTTTCAAATGGCAAGGCTGATACGATGAGTTAGATGAAGGAGACAGGTAAAGACAATAAAAGAGAAACTGCATCAATTTGAAGGAAACAAGGTTATCTGGTGGTCAAGAAGAGCACATCTAGAATGGCTCATTCTATTGGATCATGCCTAACCTCATGGGGTACGAGAAAACACAAACCAGTGGCTCTCTCAACAGCTGATGCAGGCTCCCTCACAAAGGTTGTGAGCAGGGAACTCTTTGAGAGAAATAGGATGGCACTTGGGGTAATTAAACCTATGAGAGAACCTAGTTCTGCTTACATGACCGTGAAAGTCTCATTCAGGTAAAATTGGCTAAAGTGTTTTTTGACTTAGCCTAACTCACATCTATACCATTGCAGGTAAACACGCATGACGATCATAGAAGCTAAAGGTACAATGTTGAACTGCGAAATAGGAGCTGCAAAAATCTTTTATAAAACCGCTCAGGAATCAGGTTCATGTACCACAGGTTAGTAGTAATGTGTTTTTCGCATGCTTTCTCAAAAGGGGTAACAAAATTAATTCAATTGCCACATCATCCGACTTTTCATAGTCTGCATGTCACATCTAATCTTTCAAATCCTTTCACCTCCTCTGCACATTACGTATTCCTACAAACCTACCGTCATTTCAAAAAACCCCTTGGAACCCGTTCCTCTCCTTTCTCATCATTAGTCGTTCTTCCCATAAGACTCTCTTCTTTCTCACTCCAATTCTCTACCAAATTCTCCTACAATGGAAAACGAACAATCTCTCCCTTCTTCTGTCATCAACACCACTCCCACTTCTCCATATTCCTTAAAGTCACCCCTAGAAATCCACTCTTCCATTATCCCCAATACTACTGCACCCACACCTGTTTCCTTCTTATCTCTTGTCACTTGCCTCTCTCCTTCAAACTCTGTCTCCTTACCATGTGTTGAAAACTCCATGTCTCCTCCTTCTTCCGATCTTACCAAAGAACACTCAGAAGTGTTACCTCTCAGGTGTCAGAGATCTCTGAGGATGATCCTGATCAGTATCTAAACCCCTCCATTTTGGACTCAGTGGCTCTCACGTAGTCACCAAAAAAGAAAGCAGCTCACAATATCATGGCTATTGCTGTTGAGAGTCTTTTGAATGAAGGAGCCTCCCTTTTGTCTGAGTCTCGGAAGGGGGGGGGGACTCCATTCCTAGGAGATGAAAGAACCTTGGTACTCTTCGAGTCTCCAGTCCATGAAATAGTCACAGAAAAACCTGCTGGAGAACCTGATTCTCTTCCAACTGAATCAACCCAGGAACCTCTTGTTTATTCTAAGCCCTTGGAATCCATTCCACCCAGTGAAGTCCCTATTGATGAAGATGATATTGCTCTCAGCGCGTGGTTTAAGATGCGCAAACCAGCAGTAACCCCTGAATTCTCTTCCAAATGACCCACTACCAGTTTGCAGTAGAAAGAGACTTTCGAGGTTGCCTTGAAGAAAAGTAAGAGGAGTGTCAAGAAAAAGAAAAAGAGATCGACAAAACAAGGGGAATTTGTGATTGACAAAAGCATTCCAGTGTTTGAGGCTGACGAAGATACTGTAGAGGAACCCAATTATTTAGTAAAATGATCTACAAAAACCCAGAAGTCTGTGGTTGGAGCTTCTGATGAAGCTATTGAAAAACAAACTAGAACTTCTGTGCAGGGTTGCAGTAAGTCCAAGAAGGTTGTCATTGAGCAAACTATGTTTGAAGGGGATACTGTGGGGGTTGTAAGCCAGAAAGGGAAGTCTGTCAAAGTTTCTAGAAAACAAAAACGGGAAACTGTAAGGGGACCTAGTTCTATGAAGGTCATACCCAGTGACAGTGGTATCTGGCATGAGAGATTGAGAACTCAGAAAATCTTGTAGGGTCGTATGTTTGATTCGGCAATCTCAGGGATGGCAGGTATGAGGCAAGTTTGGGAGATGGTGGAATTTCAGCAATGAGATCATTTGTTTCTAGAGGATGTGCTTAAGGTGTACGAAGACGCGGTGCAAAATTTCTACGTATCTCTCTTCACTGTTGAGGGGGACCACATCTGTGTACTAGTAAATGCCGTAGACATTGTGCTTGACGCGTCAGCATTGGGGAAAGTTCTCCAAATTTCATGTGAAGGGATATCCTCAGTCAAGGGTTCTTGTAGTGCTAACTTTAGGAGAACTATTATGAAAGAGCAAGCTATTCAGCAGGGGGAACGGGTGCATAAGAAGGCATTACTGCCTGAGTATCAGCTTCTCTTTGAGCTGATCAATAAGGTGTTTTTACCTCGTCCTGAGAGGCGGTCTATCGCTTCAAAGTCTGATCTGGTCTTAATTGAGGCACTTGATGAGTTTGTCCCGATCAATATGCAAGCAATCATGATAGAACATATGCAAAAGGTGGCAAACTTTAAAGGTGGCAATTACGGGCTTCCATATGGCTTTCTCCTCACTCGAGTGTTTAAGTTCTACAAGGTTCCCTTGGATAATCCCAAAGTGGGAACCCGCAAGCAAACTTTCTCCAAAACCACTCTGGAAGAATGTGAGTGTGTAGAAAAGGTTGGTGGAAGCACATCGACCATTTCTCAGCTGATCAATTCTCAAAATGTTGCTACCGAAGAGATCAGAAGATTGAGGACTTAAAATGCCATACTGGAAACTCAGCTTAGTCAAGCTGTTGGGGCACCTGGTTTTGTTAATTCTTCCCATGAAGAAGTTGCCCGCTTGACCAAGGAAAATGATGAGATTTGTGCAAAACTGCTTGAAGAACAGCTATCTGCAAATGACCGTATGGACCTGGTTCTCAAAACCCTTGCTACCTCCCTCTCCAAGTCTTCCTCTTCTAGTGCCCCTTAGAAACCTTTCAGTGACCAGCTGTCTTCTGTTACAATGTTTTGTGGTTGTTGTTTTATTTTGTTTGCCTTTTTGTTATGCTGGCATGTTGGATCTCACCGTTACTGCCCCTGTTTAATCTTTCCATTTTCATATCAATGAAACATCTCTTCTTTTTGCTTGTACAATGTTATTTTCCTTTGCTTCTCTTTTATGTCATGTTATATGCACATATATGGCATGAGTTGACTGTGTTAGACTTCTTTATATTTTTTGCCTGCTTGTGTATTTTTAATGATGACAAAAGGGAGAAGTATAAGAGGGGATCTAAATAACAGGGGATCTGATTAAGGGGGAATCAAAAGCAAAAGGTCAGGGGGAACTTGTGAAGTTCCTGTTACCTTATCTAGTTATTTCTGCTCTAAATAAATGTTATCAATGTCTAAATTTTGTCATCATCAAAATGAGGAAATTGATGGGTGTTCAATGTATTTGCTTTATGTTTTGATAATCTAAAAAACTTACTGTCAAGAACCAGATAGGGAACCTGACACACTTGGTACGCATTACAAATGAACGAAGTCCAGTCTGAACTCCAGCTAATGTGAACTACTACTGTTGATATCTAATTTTTCCCTATATATTTTTCATATGCAAAATACTTTCAAAATAGCATATGTATGCATATATAGGCATGTCCAAGTGTTTTTTCCAATTTTTAAAAAATAATTTTTAAATCAATTTATTGCCTTATTTTATCAGAAAAAATCAATAATTATTTCCCAAATTATCATTTTTGGTAACTCCTTTATTGAATTCTCATATTTATACCAAAATATAGCTAAGGTAATTTTTCACATTTTTTACAAATTTATTGAGTATTTTTAAAATTAAATTGCACGTAATTGCAATTTTAGCCTATCTTAAGATTTAATTGCGTTTATAATTATAAAATTGATCCCACTATTTTTAATCTAATATTTGTGTATAATTAATTAATTTAGTACTTTTAATTGTTTTCAGAAATCATTTTACTATTCTTACAAAATAAAAAGGGAAAAAGTGGCTATTTAAATACTAGCCCTAACTATTTCGATTTTAGCCTAAATCAACCCTTCCCCCCCAATTGACCCCAATTTCAATTTCAAATGGACTGGCCCAATTTCTAAACTACCCGCCCCTGATTAAATTAAGTTAACCCGTCCGGCCCCCCATTAAATCCAGGTCGTTGATCAAAATGATCAACGGCCACAAATCCTCCTTTCCTTTTTAATCTACCAACACCCCTTAACCCTAAATCAGTTCACCTAACCAGCTGCCTCTGAACTCTCAAACTCTCTCAAACTTTCTCGAACATTCCCAAACCCTAACCGCCTCTTACCACCCCTTCTACCTTGAAACCCACCGGAATCCATGGCTTCTCAGGATGTGGGAGTCTCATACCCACCTCCCCTTGCTCCCACGCACCTGATACTTGAAGATTCGAGGCCTGACCTCGAAGGTTTGCACCCAGACCTCTGCCGACTCGAGGTTCCACGGTCATCTCCGGCCTACCATGGTGGTTTGAGCCTGATTTCGACCTCTTCGACTCAGATCGGTGACCTTTCAAAGCCTATCTCACTTCTAGGGTTCTTCTGAAACCCTAACCCTTCAAGGTTTTCTCCGATTTCCTTAGATCCGTTGTGTATCTGTGCTCTCCTTGTGTTTTCAAATGATTTCCCTAACTTTTCTTTCAAAAATTACTTTCAAAATCGCTTCGTTTCCGATCTAGGATTTTCTGAAAATGTTTAAGTGTTTCTCTGACTTTCTCTCCTTTTTCTTTTGTGTGTATTTGCCTCCACTGTGTTCTTATGTTTTCCTTCTACCATGCATGTTCTTCTACTATGTTTTCTATACCCCGTTCTTGTATATTCTTCTACTGTGTTTTCTATACTATGTTCTCGTATGCTCTTCTACTATGTTCTAGTATTTTATTCTACCATGTTCTATTAGGTTCTGTCTATTATATTTTTCTACTGTATTCTTAAGTGTTTTTACTATTTTTTCTTCTGTTGAGCCCTGTTTAAGCTTCTTCTAGAAAGCCTCTTAAGCATGCTTCTTCTACTGTTCTTATCAGTATTTTCCATTATGTTCTTTGAATCCTT